TCCTCCCACTGCTAAAGACCCCTATGTGCAAGCGAATTATTGAAATAAAATTAAACCATATGTTCGTCCCGAAATGACCTAGTTTGTGTCGAGTGGACGTTAAACCCCATTTCTCTCTCTCTCTCTTGTTCCATCATTACCTTTTACGGGCCCGATGACATGACGTAGTTTGCTTAACTGTGAAGGATAATGACATTGTGTCTTTAGACACACAGGTTTTCGTGATTTGCTTTTCAAATAATAATTGTCACCTTAAATGTTAAAGATCTTAAACGTAGTCAATATTTCAACTGATTGTAAACGAGGGGTGGGGAATGGCCGAATGGTTAACGCGTGCGCATTGGGTCATAAGCTCTGTAATTCAGTGAAGTGGCGTGGTTTCGGTTCCTCTCTTGTACGAAACAAGGAGTAGGGTAATCTGTCCAATCTCGAAGGTTTTTTCCGGGTCCTCCGGTTCCCCCACTTCTAAGGACCCCTACGCGCAAGCGAATTATTGAAATAAAATTGAACCAAAATGTTAGTCCCGAAACGAACTAGTTTGTATCGAGTGGAGGTTAACCCCCCCCCCCCCACCTCTCTCTCTCTCTTTCTCTCTCTCTCTCTCTCTCTCTCTCCCTCTTGAAGGTTTTTTCCGGGTCCTCCGGTTCCCCCACTTCTAAGGACCCCTACGCGCAAGCGAATTATTGAAATAAAATTAAACCAAAATATTAGTCCCGAAACGAACTAGTTTGTATCGAGTGGACGTTACCCCCCCCCCCCCAACACACACCCCTCTCTCTCTCTCTTTCTCTCTCTCTCTCTCTCTCTCTCCCTCTCGAAGGTTTTTTCCGGGTCCTCCGGTTCCCCCACTTCTAAGGACCCCTACGCGCAAGCGAATTATTGATATAAAATTAAACCAAAATGTTAGTCCCGAAACGAACTAGTTTGTATCGAGTGGACGTTACCCCCCCCCCCCCCCCAACACACACCCCTCTCTCTCTCTCTCTCTCTCTCTCTCTCTCTCTGATTGTAAACATACGGATAATGGCTATACTTTTTCATAGATTATCTCGAAACAATTACTTTTTTTCTCGCCATTTACTTAAACCTAAAATGTGTAAGAGCTACATCTGACTGTTGCAGGTCTTTTTCTTTAGGCCTTAAATGCTATATAAATTAATTAGACATTTATTAACATGACAAGACCATAATCAACTCTCGATGCCATCATATGGGTGCGATTTTCAACAGACTTGAATCCGATCTGTGGTTTGACAAAAAAATTTAAAAATCGAGACTTTGTGTAATATCGTAACAGCGGTAACAATGACAACCGGGGCTACAGTATTTTTGGAATGAGGAGTTCTTAGCTCAGTGTGAAGTAATTTGACTGAAATTTTCAGCACATTCCCTTTACGTTATCTATTTTTTTAACTATTATACCGAGAACTGTTAGCTCTTTGTCTAATCTTCTATAATTTCGCTTTAATAGATTATGTATATGTATAAGGGGGTACTTAGCTTGTGAAATCAACAAGTTATTAATATTGTAATATTATGTAATTTATTGTAACCGGGAGGGGTTTCTATAGGTTTTGCCTGTTCCCCAATCCCCTCAGTTTTCTGAATAAATATTGTTTAAAAAAAAAAAAAAAAAAAAAAAAGTTATTAAGTAAGGCATGTTTACAAACATTTACAGCTGTTACCTTCATTATTAAATATGTTTATTTTGAAAATTCATTGATAGTCCATATCCCATTTTACAAAATCTTACAATTTTTTTTCTTCTTTGAATTGAGCAGTACCTTAATGACACTATAAATATGGAATGATTTAATTACTTACAGGGTTACTCAACTTAATTTAGGGAACCTTAGAACACTCTAGGGTCTACAATTCTGCTGCATTTGCAATATATATTTTGAGAGTAACTGAAGCAACTGTTGTAGAGCAACAGATGGCAATGTTAAGATTGTTACAGATTTTGTCACATTTAATTGTTATTAGAAATCGATCGTCGTAGCTGCTAGACAGCGTATGTTAAACCTATTTAACTTTATTGTCGGAGCTCAAGTGGGACAAATGAACCAGTTTAAAAACCTTAGTTCTTTGTCTTCTCTGTCTAGACAAACGCTTCTTCCTTGCAAAATGACGACCGACGAGGAGAAAATTGTTAAACTGATTTGACTTATTGTACCAATTAATACTACATTTATCTGTTTTTCTAACTACATGTAGTTTAAATATAAGCATCTGAACGGCTTACATGAGTTAAAGCTGACCTTTTGGTCATTTGGATGGCCGAATGGTTAGGTCTGTCATTGAGTCAACTGGCGTGGTTTCGATTCCCCTGTTGTACGTGACAAGGAGTGGGGTCGCCTGTCCAACCTCGTGAGTTTTCCCCGGGTCCTCCGGATTCCCCCTACAGCTAAAGGCTCCTACGTTCAAGCGAATTACTGAAATAAAATAAACTCTCTCTCTCTCTCTCCCCTCTCTCTCTCTCTCTCTCTCTCTTGGTCCCAACCAGATCAACTTAAAATTGCAATGGTAGGCGCTAAAAATATTTTAATTTGAAAATCGTGACAAGTGGAATGAATGTCATGGCATGGCAATGGCATTTATTATTGAGGTTAATCAATGAAACATACAAAATTGGACTATGTCGTGATTAGCTTATCAGTCGTGAATGCACAATATGATTATAAATAATGAACTTGGTATAGATAAGGAAGCTGTAATTGGTCTGGGTAGAAATTAATCTCGTGTTTAGGAAAATAAACAGGTAAATTAATTCATTGAAATATCTTAAGTAAATAGATTTCCTGTGGGTAGACGATGGCTAATAAACCGGGAAACTACGATTCAGATCAAATAAATATATCATAATGAACAGATATGCGGGGGTCTATTTTATTCGCAGAATACAAAGGAGCTCAAATTAAGATTTGTTTCCTTTTGTTTGCTGAATACGAAATGTAGTTGATATGTCCAGGTAACAATATGACTTATTTTTTCTAATCTAAATTTGTTCATTGGGTTGCTGCGGGGGCCATTTTTGGATTAACATATTGTTCAATTTTATTTAAATTATTTTCTTGGGCGTAAGGGTATTTAGCAGGGGTATATTTTATGTCTTTGGGTGTCAGTCTATCTTCGTTCAAATTTAACATCTTGATAAAACCAGTTTTCAGATATAAACTGTTCCTGTGCTTAAACAATTATCCAAAAATGAAACTAAAATTAGTATACCAACCGACTTCCGGTTAGTCTTTAACATGAATTTTAATATATATTATTGTAACTTAAATAAAGGCGTTGACCAAAAATTAGGAATCTGGTAAGTACAATGGTATTATATGGACATCGTCGCCACAAAAATAGAGGTGCTTGAGTGTCACCGGCCATAAATATCTAAAAAGAATTGCAGCAAAGCTACAACTTATTTTTGATCATTTATTTCTCGATGCAAAATGATTTGAAATTGTGCCAAAAACATTTTCCAACACATCGGCTCGTCTAAAAACGCGGTTCTGGTCATTTAAGAAACAGCGTGGACACAAAATAAGTAGATTGCGTTATAAATACTCATAAATAGTTATAAATAGGTTATTAGTTTACGTCACATCAACCGCTGTAAAAGACGACTATTTATTTCTCGGCAATTAAGAAATTCTACAGATTGAAATTGTTTGGCAGAATTCCCCTCGAGACCTAGCAAAAGTCCCATCTTCTATACGTCCGTGTTGTTCATTCGTTGTTAAAAGATATAAACCAATATGTCAGATTTTCCAGACTAATGCTTTATAAAACCACGCGAAAAATAATTATCAAAGTATACCTATTTATCAAGTAACGCCACATGGGCAGCATTACGTTACACCGATGTCCTAACACACAATAAACTGTCGTCTTCTTCTTTCCATTTACTTTAACGATCCTCGCTTGTGTAGTTTAAAGGTTTAAATTTGCCCGCGGAGAACATAGCGAATTGCGAAATATTGCCAGATATAATTATAGTCGATATACGATTATTGAATCCGATATTCTGTCTAAAGATCCATAAAATGTGACAATAACGTGAAATTCCAGCTTTCTTGGTGCTTTATAGTCATCAAATATGTCAGTAACTCAACCAAAACAATTATTAATTTCTGTCGAAACGAATAAATAGCTAAAATGGGGATATTCTTACCTTAATATTATTAAAGAAACACGCTGTGGAGATACAGTGGAGATACATGTATGTAAGGGGGGTTGGATGGCCGAATGGTTAGCACGTGCGCGCTGTATCATAAAGCCTGTCATTGAGTCAACTGGCGTGGTTTCGAATCCCCGGTTGTACGTGACAAGGAGTAGGGTCGCCTGTCCAACCTCGGGGGTTTTCTCCGGGTCCTCCGGTTTCCTCCCACTGCTAAATACCCCTACGCGCAAGCGATAATTGAAATAAAATTAAACCATATGTTTAGTCGAGTGGACGTTAAACCCCATTTCTCTCTCTCTCTCACATGTATGTAACCAAAAGTTAGACAAGTCGTAGCATGTGTTCTATGGAAAGAGTAACAATGACACAATAAGATCCAAACATTTTCTCGCGATCTGTACACCGTTTTCAAACAAAATATGTCAGAATATTACAGCAAAAGATCAAAAAGGAACTTAAATTAATCCGATTTTAAAATCATAAGTTTTGATACATGATACACAAGTTTTGATACATATTGACAGCCTATGTAAAATGCAATACTCGTAAAAAAGGTAAGCGAGAATGGTTTTCTACTGCACAGACTGTAGATATTGTTTGTTTCACCATGATTATACGCATAAGATGCATTATCCGATGCACCGTTCTTCAATACGGACATTATTTTGTACCTTAGTATCATATAAATATTTAGTGTATAAATAATGTTCGAAAAACCTATAGAAGATGACACAATGGGAGGGGAGGGGGACAATATAGAAAACAATTTGAATGTCTCTCCTTTACTGTCTAATATTTTTTGTATTTTCTGTCATTTCAGGTAACCATGCCAACGAGATTCGCCATATTTGCTTTATGTTTAGCTGGTGTTGTACTATTTGAGGAAGTTTCCTCCAGATACATAGAATGTCCAGATGGTTGTTATATATCAGTGGGCAGTCATTGTGTGTGTCCAATTGGAGGATCATATGACAAGCGCGGCGTTAGGTTACCTTTTAGATACGGAAAACGAAATACCAAATTACCAACAAAAAATACATTTAGAGAAGGGTGAGCATAGTACGTTATTTTGTTTTAAAATCTTGTCAAATATTTGTTTTAATTTTGGTTGCGCGCTGTATTATAAGATCTGTCATTGAGTCAACTGGCGTGGTTTCGATTCCCAGGTTTTACGTGACAAGAAGTAGGGGCGCCTGTCCGACCGTGTGGGTCTTCTTCGGGTCCTCCGGTTTCCTCTCACTGCTAAAGACACCTACGCGCAAGCGAATTATTGAAATAAAATTGAACCATATGTTAGTCCCGAAATGACCTAATTTAATATATTTATTTGTTCATTGTATTCTCTTAAGAAAAACATTAACAGATAGAGTCGGTGTTGAGATATGGCAATTTAACTTAACGGTGAAAGTAAAATCAGCAAGCCAATGGTCATTCGCTTATTCTACAGAAACAATATTTTAGCAGTATAATAATAATATATTTATTTCGTACTAAATTGAGTACACAATACACAAATACTTACAAAACTATGAGAAAAGTAATAAATATACAAAAAATATACATTCTCATAGTTAAATGTCTAATATGTGGACAAGTGATGAATAATTTCATTTAAATTGTTTTTATCCGTTTTACAAAACGTTTGATCCCTTAATAAAATCATATCATTTATTGCACTTACAGTTTGCATAGTAACATCATCAACATTATCGATTGATGTTAGTTTCTGTAGTATAGTTTGGACACACAATTTACCTATGTCGTACTTATTGATATTATATCTATATGAAATTAAATTCAAGTTATTACATGCAGATGCCAAAACGCGTATTAAAATAATATAATTAGTACAATCTACACTTTATATTTTAACTAAATCAAAAACGTTAATGTTATAATAGTCATAATCAAAACTGCTCAAGTTTGTCGAATTAATTAGATTGTATTTGACTAATCATTAGAACGGAAATATGTTTGCTTGTCATTAGAACGAGTACGCACTAAAACCATACCGGGCTATTCGCTGAATTGTTAGGATGTGTTACGCAAGATTGGTCAAATTTACTTCCGATACAAGCACGCGTCTTGTTCATCGCTCTATGAGTTATATTCAAAGAAAGCAAGAATTACACAGTTTATGTATTTGTCAAGGGAAATCAGCATTGTATAAAACAAAACCCCCCATCGATTCCTAACTTCTTTTGGCTTCTATGGCTCGTTGATATATTGAACAGGAAGTTATATCTGCTTCAGTAATAACTCCCACTATTATTTTAAAGATGATCAATCGAATTCACAAAATCTATGTAATACATAGTTTCTGTTGATATGAAAGTATTATGTACCTACTATAGGTTATTTAATTCATCATTCATTACAAGACTTAAAGCCAAATTGATCTGGTATATATATATATATACTCTTCAAAAAAAGTAGGGGATATTCAGAAACAATACAAAACTGCAGAAATGCACTGCTGTTTTTATTAGAGGTAACCAGTGTATGTTAATAACAAGCCAATTGCCTACACATGAACATAGACATATGGGCGGCTTATCTAACGGCCCCATTTCACTCGCAAATAGATACACCGTCAAAAGTGAAAATGGACGTTTTTGATTTTTGTCTTAATAATGAGTAATTGCTCCACCAATCCTCAGACATTCAGCAATTCGTCGTGGTGTGCTCCTAATCAACCGTACAATCACGATTTGGGGCAATCTGACCCACTCCTCTTGCAGTGCCACGGCAAATTCTTGCAGTGTTGTCGGTTGACGTTGACGTCGACGAACACGTCTCCCGATCAAATTAAACGTAACACACTAAAGCAAAGATACACTAAACAGTAAATCTTATGCATGAACCGATAGGAAAGCAAACATGGATAGATAAACCAGCATTTCAATATCCCCTACTTTTTTTGAAGAGTATATATGAAGATGGCTTTCTTATTAGATATACATTATTGTTCTATAATATAGATTGCACTTTATAAAAATAAACAAATAACAAAAGCAACCCGACCTTGCGCTAGATTTAGATTTAAATATGTTATAAAATAGTTTACAAAATGAAATTAAATGAAATGGGGGTTAAAGCCCTACAGTAACAGTTCTGCTCCAACTGGGCTAATGAAGACAAAACCTTGCTATGTCACAATATAACATTTCACATTTACTAAAATCTCGATATGTCTCAAGAGCCATTCAACTTGCATATGCTGTGTAAATTCGAATAAAGAGTTATATCACATGATATAATATTTGTAGTGTCCTGGAAGAATAAACCGCCTAGAAGGCGAAACTCCTCGTGTGCGTATATTTTTCTGTTCCATAACGTATTGAAATCATAGGAGGTGGCGAAGATCTCATTCTGGTAGATTTAGTTTGTCAATTAAATGCCATCGTCACATTAGAATAGAATAGGGACATTTTTAATAGAAAATGGTATCCAAGCGTGGAAACTATCTGATGAATTGTTTGACATTTGCTAAAAAAAAAAGAAAAAGAAAAAAATGTTAGATGAGATATCGTTTAAGAGGATTTACTGAAATGAGCCTATAGACAGAAGATATTCGGCACATATATATATATATATATATAAAATAAATAAAAGATTCTACTCTCAGGTAAAAATATATAGAAAAATGAGGTTTTTAGAAAGGAAAAACTAATTTCATCTTAGCTAGCGCTTTCACCCACTACGGGGATCATCAGGCATTTAACAATGAGATAGTATACAATTACATGACGTTATTAATACATATATGTACATAACAATAATAGTATATATATAAACCGATACGCTGGCGTCAGTATTTTCAGTTCTCGTATGGTCATAATCAATGTAATTACAATTATAACTTTTTTTCGTTTTGTTTGATTGTTCGAATTCTTCACTATATAACATCTAACATAATCAGAGCAGCTGTCGTTTAGACGATTGACTTTAAAAGATACGTTTACAGGATATTCCACAAATGAAATGAAATGGGGTTAATGTCTTACTGTTAACACCAACCTGACTAATGAAGACGGGCATACGGCATGCACGGGAAAGCCACACTAGAAAATGTCGGGGAACTGTTATCGACCAACTCCGATCTTTTTATAACCACCACGGTTACAGATATTCGCTGGAAGAATAAAAGCATGCCCATTCATCAGATGAAAAACATCCACCTTTATCCAATATTAACATAGTTTGAAAGAATTTATTTAAATGAGACGGCTATAAGAGAAACTGAAACAATGAATTGAAATTCGGATTGTCGCAAGACATTGTTTCTTATTCTATTATTTTACGGCCTTCGGGTGTATTCAAGTTTTATTATTAAAAAATGCTAACCTTTCTATTGTTTTATTAATCCTATTTGTTCTCCATTTTTTTCTATTTTCAGTATTCTTAACAATATAAACCCATATCGACTGTATGATTTAGAAGAAGATAAATAGATATCAGTATCTCCCACAAGATCTGAAGACCAACACCATAACTTACAGACACATCTTTTGTTAATACATTTATATCACCCCATCATAATATGTTTAAAGTGATAATTCATTTATTATTATAAAATATATTATTAAATTTTATGACGATTCATCTGTATTAAGGGAAAACATGATTGATTGTATAGTTAAATCAACTTGGAACAATGTCTTTGAAAATATTAAAATGTACCATTCTTCTGTAATTGTCTTCAACTAATTAGTATCTAAAGTAATATCAGTCATGAACATTATACCAAAACAACTGTTATTATAATTGACAGATACGTGTATATTACTGAAATGATTATCTGACATTATCTCCAGTTTCTATGAAAAGTTTTACCAAGTTCGACAATATATATTATTTCGTTCGTGACCCTGTTTTATATAAAAGCATATAATTTAAAGTTAATTCAGAGATGGAATCAGAATTAAAACAGTAATGTTGGGACCGAAGTTGTTTGGCTCTTTTTTTTAATATATATTCTAGGTTTATCTGTTTATGTTATAGTAATACTAATTTTTCGTTTTGTATCACATAGTTTTTGTAGAATTTTCCCTAAAATACATTCGTTTCATAATGTAACAACTTATTTTAATACTTTATCATGTGTTTTATAACGTACCCTGTCTTATACATTCGAGTATATCGTTATTACTAATATTAAGATATTTTATGTTATAATTCTTGTGTACTTATTATATTCTGTCTTTAAATTTGAGTAAATCTGTTTTTATTATATTGCATGACGTACAACAAAAACGTGAACTTGTTTTGGTTAGGCTATATCTTCTTGTGTTTGGTACTCTTGAAATTTTCCATTCGGATTCATATCATAAAATAATGAAGAGCTAAATATATAAGTATATATAAATGTATATTCTTTCAACTATTTCATAAACATGCGTTGACTTTTTTTTGGTCGTGGTGATAATGTGCTTGAGAAAGGTCGAGTCTGGGGTGATGCATGTTTTTTTTTCAACGTTGTTTCCTTTACTTGGTTGATCTGTTTCTGCAGCATAACCAGGAAGAGGATGTTATGTTTTCAAACTGTTTATTTATGGCGGCTTTATACAGTTTATAATTCCCAAAAACCATACATTGTAAAATGCAGAATTCCTTCCTAAACGTGCTTTTAGGGTACAGAATAGCCCGTGTTGAAAGTGCAGATAAACACCCTTAGCTGGTATATCCACACACAAAATTACCTTTTTTAAAAGGTCAAATTTATGTAAGCCTGATCTTGAATGTGGGATGAGGTTTTAACTCATCCTTCACACTATACATGGGTCTTTATGAGACACATCTTCTCAGTTATCTAACCACTCGTCTACAGGGATCACTTAAAATTCGATGATATGATGCGGATGATATGATAGTGAATACCCCCCCCCCCCGTTATGAATAAGCACTTACCGTTTAGCGTCCACTCAACACAAACTATGCTATTTCGGTACTGACGTTACGAACATCTTTATTTCAAATTCAATTGCGCGTTGGGTCTTTACTTCTTGTAATTTATGGGTGGGGGTCGAAACCACCCCACTTGACCCAATGGTAGGCCCTATGATCTTTCACCCGATGTCACCTCTCCTTTGAGGGGTTTCCATCTAACCAACTTATGCTTTACCATTTGCATTGTAGACCGTTAGTTTGTTGATGCAGTCGCACGGTGCGTTTTACAAGAAAATGCAACATATTGAAACCGTTATATTGTTTGACGAGAATAGTAAAAACTGACAGCAAAGATGTTACCTCACGTGCATGTTAACTCTTTTATCAGATTATTCCGATTTAAGTTAGAAAGTGTCAGAGTTGTACATCGCTTAAGACCTATTTAAATAATCACTCCGGAAAACGAAGTACTTATTAATGGTACTTGAAATTTTCCTTTCTGACGTGATTGGATTATTATTTTGCAACATCTGATTTCCGTTCTGTGACGTCCCTTGTGTGCAATGTCTTGATAATACAATTTTCGGGTGCACTGATGAAAGACAAAATGTGAAAGAAACTTTGACGATCAAGACGAGTATTTGTTTTGATCTTCACTGATGTTCATTTTAGGATTATTTCTGTAAATCAAATATTTGAGCAGAATCGTTACGTTTGACATTAGCTTGGGAATTCTATTTAATTACATTGTCCGAAATGTTAATGGTTTTGAATGAACTAGTCATTCTTTGAACATTCAAATCCTTTAAATCTGTTATGGAATTAGCGGAAGCAAATCTCAAATGCTCTATACTTGATTTATATGTCGGACAGAACTTGAATATTTGGAATTAAATACCGGAACTTTGGGTCTATTTGTATCTTAAAATTTATATCGTTAAAGTGGCACAAACTGACATTTCAAATCGGACCAAATAACAATCCGTGGCAATTTATGCTGTGTAAATTAATTCCTCGTCGAAATACCGCCATTTCAAAACTGTTTGGAAATAAGACCCACGTAGAAACGTAAACATACCGTGATCCACCCATATAAGTATCCCCAAAAAGTCTTCTCCCTTGAAAAGTAATTACTCGCCTGATGTAAACAAACGAAAAAATATATGAAGTTGTGATCTGGGGACTGTGGTAGCGATTTTCTAAATTAGCATTAAAGATGAAACTTAATATTTGATACAACGATACTCCATCACCTTTACGTATGCTTATAAAGAATGAATGAATGAAATAGGTTTAACGTCCTACTTCATCATATAAAGGAATGGGAAATGGGAATGGGATAGTGGGTATCTTTTGAACTATAAAAACGAAACGAAATGGGATAAATATTAATGGAGTTATTTTTAAAAATTAAAAAAGAATAATGCTTCACTATGTTTACTACACCAGTTGTGAAACCCATCAAAATTATAAAAAAACGAAACGAAATATAGATCTGTATTTTGATCAAATTGGCAATCGTAGCGCAAGTGCTAATAAGGTGTGGAGGCATGCGTTATATGTTGCATCTGTCAGACAAGAAAAAAACGAACGTAAATAGACTGACCTTTATTCTTTATTCCTAAACCCTTGCTATAGCTTAACGGCCTTCTTCCAATTTTATTGTAATGAAAAGCGTGGTCAGGAGTTGTAAAATGATTTGTTCTTTGAAATTGGAAATCGAAATATAAAAACAAGAAGAAAGACCAATTTGGTTTCATAACTCTGAGATTCATGTAATACGTCCAAATTATTGTCACCATTCAACTATACTAAGGGAGATGCTCCACATGTTTATATATAGATCGATAATAATAACCGCAATAAACAAAGTATAAACCTTTCTAGGCACCCCGCTCAACAGACACGCTAAATTAAAAGGTGCATTCACGGCGTCATTGTCTGAAACAGAACCAACAGTTGACGGAATTAAGACTAACCTGTAATTTTGACGTGCATACTAAACATATTTGACTGATTTACTAATAGCTTGGCTATGTTGAAGCTTCAGGACGCCATACTGAAATATCTTGTAGTATTGATGACGTCCCTAAAACATTAAGGGTAGTTGTCTTTTGTTAGAATGCAGGAAGAGATTGGCTGGACTGTCTCCTTCAAGGGGTGAATATTTCATTAAAGAATGGGGGTTGGATGGCTGAATGGTTAGCACGTGCCCGCTGTATCATAAAGTCTGTCAATGAGTCAACTGGCGTGGTTTCGATTCCCCGGTTGTACGTGACAAGAAGTAGGGTCGCCTGTCCAACCTCGTGGGTTTACTCCGGGTCCTCCGGTTTCCTCCCTCTGCTTAAAGACCCCTACGCGCAAGCGAATTATGGAAATAAAATTGAACCATATGTTAGTCCCGAAATGACCTAGTTTTTGTCGAGTGGGCGTTAAACCCCATTTCTCTCTTTCTCTCTCATTAAAGAATGTAACTAAACAGTAATATACAGAGAGGGCTTTTAAATTATTACCAAACAAATTATCAATTTTATCGGATACAATATGCTTTCCGGCTTAATGGTTGACCGTGGATGTAGATAGTTATCTTTGGATAGCAGGCAGAAATAATTGCTCAGGTACTTATTTTGGTTTGATATTTTTTTATTCTAAAAAACTTTCGTAGGTACAATAATTATGTGGGCCATGCTTACAAATAAAATATTTTCTGAATCTACCAGCAGTTTTTCATATACAGCGATATCATGTTTTCAAATACATTGACACATCAGACATGATCGCATGATGCTTTTTAACACATAAAATAAAACAGAACATAGCATATAACAAACAAGTCAACAGCGAGGCTGGTGTCTCCCGAAATAAATAGATGGCGCACATTAATTAATTGCACATACTTGGCATAGACAGAAAATGACCATGACTAATCTTAGTCGTGGTTTTGGCCGTGGAACTATACTCTAAGTTTCACCCCTCTCGACCTCAATCAAAGTTATCATGCCCAAAAGCATCGACTAAACGAATTGCTTATCGCTGATTAGTATAAGCATGAATTGCTCACCACTCAACTCCTTCAAGACATTGACATAATAACACCTACACCAAGTTTGAACATTCCAGCTCAATTAAAAGCAGAGCTGTTGTTTCCCAAAAGTATGACGGGCAGTCAGACTGACGTGTGGACGGCTCATTTTAACAGTCCCCTGCTTTCTTCAAACGGTGGTGATTAATTAAACCAAACTACAATAAGTAAAAGCGTAAAGTAAACTTTCTACACGGTCCATTAGTGTCTTCTATCCCAAACGCATTGAAATTCGTTGTCGTCTGTTGTAAGAAAGGCACCTGTGCGGTACTGGTAAACAGATTGGCATATACATTTCAACATGAAAAGGTAGCCTGAAGCTAAATAATGTCAAATTGGAAAGCCTAGGGATCTGGCTGAGGAACGACTTCTGTAAGCTATCGCTATCTGTAAGCTGTCGTTTCAAGACTGGGTATAAAAATCCTCGGATAACTTAATATCAAATTGAGTAGCTAACACTGATTAGTTAATTTAACAACCATATCATAGACATATATATAAAGTATATAGTGTCTCGAGCAAATGACACATGTATCAACCAGTCGTATAAATACTGGGTTAAAATTGTGGGCTGAACAACTCATAAAATTTCAAACAGATAAGATCATGCATCAAACTTCCGAAAAATTGGATCATGATTGAAATATCTAGCAAGATTTCTAAGAAAAGGAAATAATTTTGGAACGTATTACCGACAAATCGCTGAAAAGCAATAAGGCTCATCCTTTCGATCGAATACACAACCAATACAAATTTCACAGAATGGGATCAGAATTTCAAAACGAAATGGAATATCAAAAAATCAATGAAAAATAAAAGACTTCTTCATATCAGAGTGATTGATGTAAATATCAATTAGTATAAAAGATTTTGTGATTCTTTTATAAATAATCAACCTGTAAGGTTTTTGAACATCTGTCTAAAAGCACATCTCACATTGTCTCTAAATCTTGGATTCATAACACTGTATATTATTGGATTGATGGCACTGTTTAAAAAAAAGGATTTAACACAAAACGTACAAAAAAGATCAACAGCTGCAGAGTTGCCATAACGATAATATTCACCAAGTACTGTTGTCTGGAAGTACTTTCCAGAATTTCGTATTGTTTGAACAGTGAGAAACGGCACATATGTTAAGATGGCTGCCAAGGTAACGGACGCCAAACACGCAGTAGTTTTTCTTGACCGCATTCGGATTCTTCCATTTATAACACCGTTTGTTTTGTTTGGTGGAGGGATTGGGTTTTCTTTTCTCAAGCTTAACAAACGTTTTCGTTTGATAATGACAATCATAATGTTTAAATAGAAGAAAATAGCTAACCCGAAGGAGATTATCCAAATTATGTACAGTAATCCCATAAATAAAAATACATAGATGTAGTGCTGAAAATAATCATTATAGGAACAATCTTCCCCTAGAA